AAATATTAATATCTACTTTTCGTTTATATTTCTGCTAGAGAGTCAGCAACTCGTGAGTAGTGACAGGTAAGTGAATAATATATATGCTCGTAATACCACACCCACACTTAACTTTCATGTTGCTTTGTGATAGTTTTTGGTATATAATGCCCTATCAGACTTAGTCTAAAAATATTTTTCGAAATTTAATTTTACTGAGTTCCTAAAGCCTCTGTAAACATGAATACTGCATAGAATGTGATTTTTTTTGTATAAATACAATTCTCACTTACTAGTCGAAATCGTCTAATCGAATTTTGAAAATAAGTTGCACATACAATTGTTGCCAAACACTGATTTTAATTCATAACTGTTTGGCACCATTAGAGTTATAAATTGGAAGAAAACTGCTATTCAAAGCCCTATGCCATTCATACTTCTTCAGTTGATTATTATATTTGATTTAAATCATCTTTAAAATATGGAAACCTCAATAAACTATTTATTTGAATACATAAATTTTAGTAATTAGTTTATTATTGTGTATGTACATAATTAAATTATGAATTTTTTCCATTTGTTTTGTTAATTCATATTAGTAACAGAATGCTCAACTGTTTATATATTTTTTTGAAATGACATATTTGACATCACCAGTATTCTTTTTTATTTGTATCATAGAAAAACTAGTTAGACCTAGTTTCTGGCTATGATTTTTTTAATGATTCGGTATTGCTTATAAACTAAGTAGAGAACACAATTGATGAACGAAAGTCAGCTATTAAATTAACATTGATCGCTAAAGCTGTAGATCTCACTTCATATGGATGACGCCTCAATCAAAATTCCTGAAATGTCCGGTAAAATTTGAAGGCAAGGTAATCAGTGTTAATGGTACATATGGAAGTGTTTGATTTTGCTGATCAGGTATACAAGTGTTTTCTTTATATTGATTGAGTGATTTTGATAATATTTCAACCGTTCATGTTAGGTTTTCCTTTTACAGTCTTGACTTTTCAATCCATACAACATTATAAATAGGGGTTGAAACCATTTAGGGTACCTGCAATACCTTTCAACCTCTCTTAATGTTTGTTTCATTGGGTTTCCAGACCATCATTATTCTTTCCTATCAGTTTGACTTAGCTAGTTTATTCTACCAAACCTCCGAAGCACTTTTTAAAACATTTAATCGAAACAGATGAGTTTGATGACTGAATTATTCTGATAAGATCTATGATCTTTTGTCACCACTGCAAATCGTATCCAGCAATATATTGTGCTTAAATATTATCAGAACTATTCTGTAAAATTATTTAATTCATGGAAAATCACTTATAAAAGCATCCTACGAATAATAGCAACGGTCAACGCTCCGACAAACTTGACAGTGGCCCAATTTTTCATTTGCTACCATATATTTAGTACTAGCGGTTAAATCTTTCACATCACCCGATAGTTTACCAACATTAAATTCATTTTACGCGTCATCAGCACATCATCAAGACATCTAAACGTTATCCTTTTTGTTACCTTATACACTCAGTGCAAGTGGGACAGAAATAACTACTTAATGAACAGCTTAAAACAGTACATTTAGCAAATATTTATTAAAATATATATATCGAAATTTCATTCGCTCACTTTTTCAAGTAAATATGCATAAAAGCATGCATCAACAATTAACTGAAAAAAAAATTAGAATGAGCAGTAACCACACCACCAAACATTGTCCGTGCTTCATCTAAGTATTCTATCGGTCAAATTCATTTAATTAATCTTTAACAACAAATGAATGTATATGTTATTTTATTTAAATTGTAGCAAACAAATAAAGAAAAGTATGTATATATTTCACTGAAAAGAATCGAATTAACAAATGAATGAAGCAATTCTATTCATTCATCAACAAATATTGTTCTCATTGATTAGATCATTCCATTCAATATTGTTTAATGAAATATGGTCATTAATATTCTTTTGATTTAATAAAAGAACACCTAATCAACAAAACTTTCCTTTCCATTCAACAAATTGGTTGCAAAAATCTATGGAATGCAATACTGAAATCAAACTATTGTATGCTGGATAATGTAATCACGTTTATACAGTGATTGGAATTATGCTGGTCTAATATGAACAGAACATTTTCATTGAATCCATTACTCATATAATGGATATTCAAAGATTGAATAGATATGAGTCACCAGCTTGAGATAAATGACTTTATTGTGTTAGTCATAATTATGTATCTAAACTGAATATTAGAGATGTTTTCGCACTATTTTGTATCAGGGATGGAATATTTGATGTGGACGTATCCTAGCTGCATCTTGTCATTCAACCATGAGCAATAACATAGATTACATCAAGAAGATATATATATTTTTGTCATATAAGAAGAAATATACAAATTTTTGGAGAGGGGTAGAATATCAATGTAAAAAAGAACAGATAACAGGTTAATTGAATTAGCGAAATTGCTTATTTGACAAACTAGCTTGAAGAGTTATCCAATAATTCTTTGAATGTTTACATACCTATGGATCGATTTTAAAATCCTTAACATTTACTCAGTTTAAGTTTGATCTTACAATCAATAGCTTTTAACCATTTCAAAGGCTTAATTTTCATACTATTACTGTTTACTTATTTTAAGTCAGTATTCTAGCAGTATTATTGAGTAGTGGACAAACAAAATGAATGAATGTACTATTTATTTATCCATGTAATAATAATTATGAGCCAGTTTTCAGCACGAGCTACCTTTTGGTGGTACACCATCAAAAACCAATTGTTTCGTCTTTGAATGGAACTGATTTGGAAGACGATTTTACAACAAACTCATCAGATAATAATAGTGTCCTTATTACTGGTTAACTTTGAGATTAATACCGAATGGTGTGGTAAGAAGTCTTAGCTGATGAAATTTAACCACATCACCGACTAGGTATTACCAGTGATATGGAATGGTGGTTACAGTATATCGCGAACTGAGTGATGTTAAAAATATGGGCAACAGGGTATTGATCAATTTGTCTGACAGGAATACACTCCATTCGAGAGCTGAAATTCCTCGTACGGATACTGAGAGTGCACTACTAAGCAGTCTCGAATATGAACAATATAGATGTCTAAATTTTCTTCGTTTCTAGTTTTTCGGAAGCTGAAGTTTATTCATTTTGATTTTATCTCCACAATCAACCAACTAATTATTAATGGTCTATTTACTAGATACATCAAGAGTTATGATAAATTTGGATTCTAAATCAGATGAATGAAGTTCAACTATGATCAATTATAGTTTATTTATTTTCAGAATAATTTTAACAATGACTTATGAAAAACAGAAATGTGTTAGGGAAATCTAGATAAAGTAAACCAAAGTTGAATATACTATTGGAAATGGGTTTTTTACATGAAAGATAACGTTTACTGACTACTTCCATGACAACGTTTAAAACGTAATCCTAAACCGAATGATTAAGAATGTTCACCAACTTGAATATAGAATTAGTGAATATATTTTATCTAGAGAAAGTTAATTAAGTATTTAAGAAATAATTGATACAACTGTAAACAGTCTAGTTTCGTCTGCTATTGATTACAAATGTAAGTTTTACAAATACTTAAACTATGTTACCCAACTGAAGAAAGCGAATATTACTTGTTAATATCTACCGAAAATCTATATCCTTTCACTTTTGAAGCTTTTTGATCCATATGCGATATTATTTCTACACGGTATAACTGTGGTTTATATATTTGATCATTTCAAGTCAAACTTTACATTTTACGATAACAAGGGTACATCCAATAATCAGGAAAGAATAAAATGCTGAATACTCTCACTATTCTCAAATAAACCTGATTTTTATTCGTTTTAATTATTGGATTGTGGTTGTAAATAAATGAAATCGTGATGTGTTTTTCGACAGAAATAACCTATGACAATGATCGCTGCGCTCTCCACTTTCCAATTCTGAATGCGCTTCATCGGTTCTTAATACTAAATACAAAATCATTTTCACCTTAATGCTTGCGTCCTATTTCACCATTAGAGGTGAAAATTTTTCTCATCTGTTTACGCTTTATGAAAATATTTAGACAATTATCTTAATTATTTTTGTATCCAACCTACAAACCCCTTACGAAATAAAATTAAAATACTTATTCGTCCAAAAACTAAACTTAAGGATTCATGAACCGTCAGAATCAGTATATCTATTTTACTACATAATTTTTAACGGAACCTAGTTAATCTCATTTTATATCGTAGACAAATCAACAAACTACTAATTTGTGGTTTTGTGGAAATTGTCGAATTTTCAGTTGAAATCACAAAGTGAGCCCGCATCCAAAAGTGTTGATGTCCTACTTCAATCACTTCATGATATTGCGCAACCCTCGTCCACAGCCTATGATGGATAACTGTCTCACAATCGTCACAGGTTGAACTTCACTGCTCATGGTTTATCACTAGAAATTCATGAGTTGGATCTTCAAGGTAGTCACCAGTGAGCAGATGGTTGTTATTAGTTGTATAGGGGGATTTATGGTTAAGCGTTCGTGCGCGAAACCAAATGTACGGGGTTCAATACCTGGATGCGGGATTACCTCTGCTGAAGTGTCCCATACTACAAAGAACCAACGGTCTATTGCTCTCATGTTTTTAGTAGTAGTTTAGCTAAGATTAGTTCGTTATTTAAGTTTTGAAAATTAGGGTAATGTTTGATGTAGCTATGATGAGTATAAATCTTCTTTTTATTGATTTAGAAAATATCCCTGAACTTTGTCTGATTGTGATGATTACAAATCACAACAGAGGAAGTAGTTATAAACTACCGGACTCCAGATTCCCATGCTGTCATCACTCGTGTCTTTCAAGGTCATTTTGACTTTTGTTCTTGCAAGGTCAATTAATATTCTTGTTAAAATGAAGCCTAAACGGTGTATAATCTTCACTGTAATAACAGAAGTTATAAATTAACACAATTTATTTAAAGATAAGAGTAAGGAAAGAAGAAAAACCACTCATTTATTTGTCTTTTATACTGCACCACTATTTACATTAAAAGCGTACAACTGACTTGTTGAAAAAAGCTGTAATAACTAAGTATTATTACTTATAAACTTGTACAATAGTATTCTGCTTATCTATAAAAAAAATTCAAGTGAACCGAAATTTCAGTGATACATTTTAGTTAATAATTATGTCTCTGCGAATAAGCTGATGGTTAGAATGGATTAAATCTTTTATTTATTTGAGCACTTTTAACCTGTAACCCATTGATTTACTGTATTTTTATGATTAATAGATTTGACATTTTGATTAATACAGTAAAAAATACACTTGAGATATATCATAACGTCTTGTTTAAATCTGGACAATGGTGCTTATACAAATTTAGGAATTTCAATAATATAGCTACGAATCCCACATAAACCAAAGTGTATAACATTGCGTTTTCACTCCATTGTGTAAAATCATTCCATGTTATTTCTGAAATAGATGCATTTTGTGTAAAAGTTATATTTGGTTCACATAATCGTACCTAAGGTGAAGTGAAATGTAAACATATATAGATAATTGTCAAGAAACACCAGAAATAAGTTTTGTGTTAGTTACCATTAATTGCATAGGTAGGCGTTTTCTACATATTACATGTAAAACTGACTTATCGTTATGTTTTAGTAGCTCGACAAAGAATAGTTATATACGAAAGAATGTATTTTAAGAAGTCAAGTGATCTACCTGTTCCAATTCACCCACACAATCCTCTTCATTTTCATATAAACATAAACGTATCCTTGTACTCTGTCCAGTAGATCCGAGATCCTGTTCACAAAATGTCCACTCTGACCAATGTGACCAAATACTTCTAGGTATATCACATTTTTCACCTCTATATCCTTCCTCACAATCACAGACACTGTTAGTAAGATCCTTCAAAAAATATTAATTCATTACTTAATTAAATAATCAAATTATGATCTGAACACAATAAAAGATATGTAACTTCAGACAATTTTATTTTATAATGATAAATTAAACTTCTTTTGCCAGCTGGAAAAGTTTAACAATTCTGTTGTCCAAATAAACTTGTCTTCAACCGATGAAATTATGAGCTACCCAAAAAGGAAGAAACGATATGTTCAGTTGGTTGGTTTTAATGTGATATATTTTGTAATGACTCGAAACAAAAATAATATCCCTGTGGTATTGTAGTGTGTGCTACTGATGTCGACAGATATAAGTAGCATGTACCATAGACCGAAAGTGAAAGGCCTGGAGGCAGAGGGTTAAGAAGATCATAGAAAAGAGAACGAGAACAAAGAATGATTGGTGTGGAAACGAAAGGACAATGAAGTCTGAGACGACTGATTGACATTTTGCAAATGAAGTATTCACTGTATGGTTCTCAGATTTTACTAAGAGGTTCTATAATTTTGCAATCAGTTACATTCGATTGTCCCCACTTGTGTTCTCGTTCATCACAGTATTAGTTGAATTATATCTCGGTTATTGCTACCAGTACGACTATTTGCTATGACTGCAGAATAATGGCTACCATCTACTTGTTGAAACAGAACGAAACTGTTATGTCGATGCAAAGAAGTAAACATAATGTTGATGAAGATTGCTTTATTCAGCAACCACTAATTAAACGAAACCCACAATAATAATTGTAATTGTACATAGTTTTAAATGTTTAGTCAATAAATAAAACCGGATGAATCGAAATAGGAGTTAATAAGTAATTTTATTTGTGTATATAATTCGCAAAATAAACTAAGTAATTGACTTACTCGGGACATATACTTCATCCCTGAACTTTATATTTTTTTCCTTTTGAACACAGCCCTATTGAGCCAACTAGTTTTATACTTGTAGTTTCATGTAAAACTGCAACTAAGCTTCAAGGAATCAGTATCAACGAATTTATTATAAATCCTTATCTGTTTACTAATAAATCACATACCACGAATAAGATTTAATAAAATATGGTTTAACTATTTATGTAAAATGGGAATCTGAGAGTTCGTTTATTGGTAAACAAAGTCAGAAATTTAATGAACGTGAATACTTTTTACAAATTTATTGATAAAAATGTGAAATATTGTCTAAATTACTAGAGGCAAAATGTTGAATAATAACCCACCTGGGTCACAGACAATGTCTGCATATTGAAAGGAAACACATATTTCTGTGACCTTTATTTATAATCTTTATCAGGTATATGCTATTTGGTAAGTAACACATAATCAGAGTATACTAGTTGAATATTTTGCGTATAACTGAAAATTTTGTTTTCGCGACTCATATTAAGCTTTAAGGAAGCAGTTATTTACTCTAAAAATCTATTCCACAAAGATTTAGGGAAGAACCAATTCTACCACCTTATTGTGCATATAATTTGACCAGGATTCATGTAAGTAATTTTCAAATCAATCGACCTATCATACAGTTTACGTAGAATTTAAGATAAATAGTCACTTTGGTCCCTCCTCTGAATAACTAAAGTAGCTATAAACACTGTTTTGTTTTAATGAACTAGTATTGAGAATCAATTCAAACATGCTCAAGAATGAGATAGAATATCGTCCATATTCTTATCAGTGTTCATTTTTAAAAATTCCTCTCAAATATCAGCGTTAATTTTACAGTAAACGTGGTTGGACATTTTAAATCTATTCAACTGAGACTAATCATATTATCGGGACATTAATGGTGTATTTTATTTATTCGGTAAATACACAAGATAATTCCCAAAATAAAACCCCTTTGATTATAATCTGTTCCCAAAACCGATAGCCTCATATCCATGTTTCATATATGAGATATGATATGATGGGAGGAAAAAGAAATCAATTTTCGATTGATTTACTTATTATGAGTTTTATTCAACATGAATTCCATTTTGATTCAATATAATGATTACTCAATGTAGTAATTGTTTTTTTCTTTTTCTCTTATGATATTTTATTATGTAATAATATACGATATTCTTGTATTCCATTGACATGAACTATACTCAGTAAGTGATTTGTTATATGTGAATTACATTCTAATTATTAATCAGAACTGAGTTTAAAATCAATATTTAAGTGAGTTTATTTTCGACTAGAATCGTCGTCATATTTTGGGTGGTCAATAAATCTTCACTTATACCAGTCTTTGTGTTCTTACTTTCGCGTCGTGGGAATTGCAGAGGTTCCTCGTTCCGAGTATATGTGATCAGCAATCAGTACAGCAATCAGCGACGACCAAATACAACAAAATCATACATTGGAAAAAGTCGTTGGGAACCGGAAGTCATTGAGAAGAGAATGGGGAATTTTTTATACAAAGTGCGTTGGACTTTCGGAATGTGGTTTAGACATATTATTCAAATACACACAGAGAAAAGGACTCTAGATAGAGAAGATAATCAAGTGGGGCTTCCACTAGATATAATTACAGACACTCCAATGACAGGAGCCCCAACAGACACTCATAAACTCTGGAGACCAAGAAAGTCCGAACGCCTCCGGAAACCAGTTATAAGGTTGCAAGTAGACCCGAAGAAGAAGTCTTATTTTTGAAAGGGGGGAGTGATTTGTTATAACTCTAAGTATTTTTTCATATATGTGAATTACATTCTAATTATTAATCAAAATGCGTGTAAAATCAATATATAAACTAGTGTTTTTTAGACTATTTTGACCATCGTCGTCGTCGTCGTCGTGTTTTTGGGGCTAATAAACCATCACTTATACCAGTCTTTGTGTTCTTACTTTCGCGTCGTGGGGATTGCAGAGGTCCCTCGTTCCGAGTATATGTGATAAGCGTTTCCGAAATAACAATCAGAGACGACCAGATACAGAAAGTAGCATTAAAAGAGCCAAGACATTAAACATTCAGACGACAAGTTATAACAAATACCTTATTAGATTCTCCAGAAATACCGTTTCAATATTATAATTAGTTAACTGATTTTTGATCGAACAATGAACCATGGGATATCATAAGCAAAAGGTTTTCGTTTGAATAATAATGATTACGGTTTTTTAACACACAGTACTCTGTCATTAGTTATTGCACTAAGTTAGGTTTTTCTCCCAAAAGGCACCAGCTAAGCAACACAAAATTACAGTAGACTGTGATATTCATATTTTCAATTTCTTTCATGAAAAAGCTTTGGTTCTTTTCATTTAAACCATAAGTCATATATTCTACAACGGCATATGATCCATTTAGGATTAAATAATCTATGTTGGGAATGATCCATCTTGCAGTAAAAGTGAAAACACAAATCTGAAGCAATTGCAGTAATCACTATCATCCTGAATATTAACTCATAAAACTAGTTAGTTAAGCTTGTAATCAGTATAAAGTGATCTTGTGCCAATAATGAACCGATATAAGAGTGTTTATTGATTACTATATACTGCGTTTAAACTAGTAACCGTGATTACCAGATGTATTTAATACTATGAATATAAATTAAAATTCAAAGCCTTACCGAATCAAGTTAACTTTTTCGGCAAAACGGATGGAACTACTTAAAAACGACTCGAGTAGTTGAAAATATTCCTAGAATGATTCTTCACCAAATATTTTCAGATGTAATGTTGTACGTTTCATAGAATTTCATTACCACAGATTATGAGATAAGATTACTAAAATCTAGTCACTATTGATTTCAAAGTATTTTAATTATTGTTATCTACGTTTTTGTAAAACGCGGTCAATATCTTTATTAATTTTGGATTGATTATTAGATTTAACTTATTATGTACACCTTTATATTTGGTTTAAAATGCTTTGGAAATGTATAAAACATTTCTTGCACTTTTAGTTAGAAAATGGTCACAGTAAGAGTCATCCCACTATTAGCTTTAATTAGCTTTTTAAATTGTTTGGGCCGTGTATTTTGATTAAGAGGTAGTTAAGTTAAAGCCAACTGCTCATTCTTTCGAATATACTTATAGCCAGCTGAAAAAGGTAAACAAATTGGATCAGTTGTATACTAATCAAATTTTAAGCAAATACAATTATTAATAATCCAAGAAATCATGATCTTTGTGGTGTTCCATTCTTTGAGCTGAATGATTTAATTATGAAGCCTCAGATAGAAGCTAGATGCCCGAATCTCCACACATGTTATGGATGTGGTTTTGATTTGGTGTCATTGTCCTTGAAACTGCCCGTATACTTATTTCGAAAATCTTCAACATTTCACCTGATTCTTGTTTTCATATTCCCCCAGGATGTTTCTAATTAGTCGGTGAATCTCACTGATTTAGGAGTGCTTATTGATTACTGATTGACCTGAGTGACAATTTTACAAACATTCTTTAATTTTCTTTGTATTCCCTCCATCCAAATTCTCAGCACTTTCCCAGTCAAACGTTTATGCACAATTGCCAACGACCACTGAAATAATGGAGACACACCACGGCGCTTGCCAAATAGATTGTGTTCATTCAGATGAAAATGAAGAGTGTAACCACTTCGTTCGATGTAATGGTTCTTTAAGTTGAAAAGGTTCATTTTATAGATGATGTTTGGCTTTTCTTCTTTCATCATTCTTTTATCCTTTGATTCCTACCAGATTGATTGAGATGATTTTGCTGATTTATGGGCTATGCCTATTCTAAACAGCCTTAGTAATGTTACTGTGGTTTTTTATTTGCCCTTTATATGTAGTAAAATGATCCGTTTGTTGATCTCCATATTTGATTTTATTATTGGTACATTCCTGATGTCAATGAAAATCTTCAAAAGTGAAAACTACAAAATACTTATAACCAGTGATTAGCTGTGTTAATTGATGCTGATTACAGTTTCTACTAGTGAGTCAGTTGAAATCACTCTTTAACTTAATCAATATAGAGGGACCATTTTTTAGTTTGTGTTTATTTCGATTATCATCTGTAGAAATCATTTATTTCTGTTATTGATTTTGTGACAGTCTTGTTTTAGAGGATGAAAAACTAAAATAATAAATTAACTTGTGGATTCTTTTGAAATGATTCAGCGAATATTTTTTCTTACACTGGCAGAATCGTGATACTAGTATTGAGATACATCAGATTGTGTTATGTGGTCATAGTTTGAAAAAGCAACATCCTAATAGTGATTATTAGTATTGCAGAATCATTGGAAGAATTGGTACATATTTAAATAATTACCTTTTTCTAATAAATATAAGAAATGATATGAAAATTAAATCTCATCTCAAATTACGGTTTTTGAAGTTAGTTTTATCTTAAATGATTTCATTGATAAATGAGGTATTGAATTAGGATGTTCCATATCTTTAGGAAGACAACTTTAACTCAGTAAAAGTAACTGATGGAAGCAAACCGTAAAATAAGAACTTTTGTTGTTCATTTATAGAAGTCTGTCATTTAAAGGTGTCCAATACAATATATTCGCCTACAAAAAAATTTGCTCAAACACTACCATTTTTTTTCTTATGTAGAATTATCATTTAAATTGACTACATTAAGTGATGTTCGTTGAAGCTGTTCGAATTCACAAATTGCTACTTAGTTCTCTTATATGGATGCTTCTAGAGACATTGCTTTCTTCATTCGATTCACCAAAGATTTATCTCATGTCTGAAGCTCTAAATTACATAGATGATGTAGTTCTATTTAGTAGACCCTGAAAATCTTCAATCTTAGAAATGACGAAATAAGTTCATTTCTCACCTTTCAAGCACTTGTATGAATCATTACCTAATCCAATCATTGGGGAGTGGAGTGATCATATGCACTGAAGAATTCACTTGGCTTGGAAGCCTCGACCATGATGGATTGATAACTGATAAGATCACTGTGTAAATACAAACATTCCGTTTAATTGTTACGTTTACATTTCTTGTGGTGCAAGCTAGAAATCTTTCTACCTAACATGAGGCTAGTACATTGTGTAACAGTTTCCTTTGTACTGTTTTAAGACTAGCTTTCGGTCATAGATCCCTTTGAAGTACTGCTCACATATTGGTGGAAGCCCCAAGTAAGTAGTTTTGAAGTTAAACATAATGTATAGGTAAAATATGTAAAATTGATTAGTAAGGCTTCGAAAATTTCATCGACTGAGTTGGCTAAGACACCTATATCATGAAAAACCTTTAGTTCATCCTAACGATAGTCAGGATAGCTTGAAAGAAGACTGTGAGTTGCCAGACTACGCATATGAAGTCTCTGACTGCTAATATGAGCAATATGGTGTGATTAAACTATACCGCGATCTAGGTCGTTTGATCAAGTTACAAACAGAAAACTTTGGAATGACATCAGTAGCCAGTTAGTATGGAAGAATATACAAGCGTAAAGAGATTTTAGCGATCATATGTTCATTTAGAAAATAAACTGAGTGATTTGTGAGGAAAACATACATGACAGTATTTGTTCAAGTTAACACATCTCATCTCAGTACAGAAACAAAAAAGGTTAACAGAATTGTAGATACATTATTAAAGGAAGAAAAATTTCGCACTGATGGGTCACTGAGTGACAGCCAACTTAATGCATAATTAATACTCAATGTTGAAAAATTCTATGGACCAGTTCGGAGAAAGGCAACTAGTTTAACTGACTCTACGTTTAGTGCAATATTTTCGATACTAAGTGAATATAAGCTATTGACGACAAGCCTTATACTTACATTGACACTACTTAGCACTGGGTATCTGTAATCTTGATGGAACCGATGGTGCTCGTCAGATTTGAATAAGCTTCACTAATTGTCAGTATTATGTTATCACCATCTGAACTTCTACTGACCCTCCAATAGAAACGAGATACTCGCACAGATTCATCACGGAGTAGCAATCAATATCGTATTTTTTAGTACGTCGTAGTGACACGGACTCGCTGGCAGCGTAAGTTGTTGGCGAATGTCAGCTAACATTAAAATTATACCAAGGGCTTCTCATCGACTGCCTCCAGCTACTGCATACTGAAACAAAAAATTTGATTATATTCAAGACTAAATAGACGATTGTAGTTGCAGCCAAATTTGAGTTTACTTACCAGTGGCTTTCAGTCACTGATTTCTAAATGTAATCATATGTTCAACTTGTAATAAATGGAATTGTAGATGAAATTTCAATAAAATAAATGAACAAATAAATGATAAACCTTACTTTTGAACTTATACATTCACCATGCAAACATAATCGTGTATCACATCCATCTTTTTGTTTCAAACAGTTATCATATGGTAAAGACAAATCTCTTGTATATCCTATACTGCAAGTACAATTGTAAGTTAACATATCATTCATTGAATTGCATTTATTAGTTGGATTTAACAGAACTCCACATGCTTCATATCCTGATGGTATATATGGACTAGCATCTAACGGATTCATTTTCAAAGTTGTATCAAATATGCAAGCGTCGAATGGTTGATTACAATCATATCCGGTGTAACCAGTTTTACAAATACATGTAGCTACACCTAATTATAAATTGAAATAAATTTTATATATATATATATATATATATATATATATATATATATATATATATCAAAGTGTCAATTGTAAGTTGTGGAATGCTGGTCAAACAGTCATGTATTATTCCACTACGTTACAGAACTAAACAATGGCAAGTAAAAGAACTTTAGGAAGACTAGAATACTATGGAGTTAATTGACCTGTGACGAATACAACTAATTTTGTGACATAGCAAATAATGTGTATTATCTTTGGTTTCTTTGATCACATGAATAAATGAATTCTATAGTCTTGAACTGCTTAGTATAGCAGTCTACAACAGTTCCTTTTTCTTGATCCAGTTACTCTAAAACTTTCTCCATTCTATGCCGCCAACAGCAAATAATGTTAATGAACTGATCTAAGGTCACTGAAAGCTTAGATTGTTTCCAGATCTCAATGAAATTAAACAACCTCCGAAACCCCATACTGATAACTAATGTATTACATAAATACAGATGATGGCCAGATGCATGACTTATATTCTACCTAATTCAATCGATAATAGTTAAAACATTATTGATTTACTTGCTATTAAGGTCACTTATTATAGTTATTAAGATCATGGACCGATAAATTTTCGACCATCATTAAAAGCCGGGAAACATTTTAAAGCCATTTTATCCTAATGGTCCAGAAGTTAAGCGTTTGCATGAGACCGAAGGTCTTGGGTTCAAGTCCTACATGAGGGATCGTGGATGCGCACTGTGGAGGAGCCCCTTAATGGAACTACACGGCCGTCCAGTGCTTTCAGGATTTCAATGATGGTCCAACATTGATCGGCTCAGGATCTCGATAAAAACTCAACAACCTCCGCAAGCCTATGCTAATAACTTATTATATGTGACACGAGATGTGGTTTGAACGTAATTTACTGTCAATGATCATGTCACTTTGATATGACTGTTGGTAATCGATTCTGTTCATAGAATAATTCCATAAATGAATATTACTTTGAAGATGGATTTAATCAAGACTAACGTCAGTTGTAGAAACACTGATCACCAAAAATTGTTTGACAAGTATTTTATCAATGTTTTGATATACTTACTAGTGTTCAGTCAATACTTATACACTCCAGATTTATTCTTGTGTAGGGTCATGAATGAAAACTGTGGAGTAATTTAAGACTAAAAAGAAAGTTTTTTGATATTTTCTAGCAATCGTGGGTTTACAAGATGAAATTAGTTAGTGAGGAAAATTTTCAACATATGCAGTAATCTACACAAAAGCCAGCTAAATTAATAAACGATATTATTCTGTAAGATAATACTAACCAACATAAGGTTTTAATATACCACAGAACTTAATTTTTGTTCTTATTGTATGAAGCTTTTCCTCATCTTCTCTCCGAAAATCCCACGTTTAATGTTAACACCAGTCATTTGTCCCTTTACAACTCTTATTTCATGCTTTACATGTACTTCCAATAACCATACATTGTTCATTTATAACATCTATGTCGCATAACCGTGTAACAGAAATCAACAAATCGGTTCACTAAGTAATACTTAGTGAATGATAAAATTTCCTATTATTTAACATGCTGTAAATGGAATGACTGAATGAATGCTCTTAATAAATACTTCTGTTTCAATTTGCAGCTTCTTTCAATAATTGTTAAGTTATAAAAAGTAATAAAAATGAAGATGGATTATATGGGAAGGTAACATTTCAAATAAGATTTTAGTAAATAATTTCCTAAAATTATTACTTCATTTGAATTATTGATGCTTCACACATTTATAAAAACAAAAGATTATTTGATCATTTTATTGAGTTCTTCAAATCCTTGTTCGTGTATTTATATTAGAGCAGATTAAATAGTTTAAGTACTTTTTTTCCCACTTGAAAGATAAAGTAGTTTAGAAAATATTTGGTCATTAGACATTTTATTATTGAATTTTCCTTATAAATTACTATAGTTGTATATGTAAACTTTTAATCAGTGAAATGAAAGTTTTAACTCTGCCTCACTTGTTTAAGTTTAGAACAATTATAATATTAGTAACCATTATGAAACTATTAGATAACTATACACTTATATGAAATGTGTAGAATGAATTTAACTTGTCCTTAGGTTAATAAAGTTTAGATTATATTCATATTGATTGCGATTGTTCAATCAAAAAGATATTGATTATGGTTACATATTTCACAACAAATTATGACCCCAAATTGACTAAAAATCCATAAACACTGCTACATATAATCCTTTTTAATCATAAAAATTTATTAACAGTGATCAAAATAAAGTGAGATTTCTTCAAAATTCTTTCTGTTTTACCTGTTGTTTGATTAAGAAAACAAGATTCAGTTGTCTCCTGATTACAAAACAATTTGCATGTATCAATTATAGTACACAATAATAGGTCCTTTTCCCATTTGTATCCCTTAAATTAAAGAAAAATAAATGGTGAAAATAGCTAAACAAACTGAAACCTGGCATAGATTGAAAGTACTAAAAATTAAATTTCAACTCAGTTATCAAAGGGCACTGTGGTTATTGTAAGACCCGGGAGATATTAGTTAAATCCTGTGTGAGGTATTGTATGCTAATTATTAAGGGTTCTTAATAGTTATGCAAATGATATTGGTTTAAGATGAAACGTGCCTTTGAATTGTACAAAATTTTCACACAGATGCATTAGGAATCAACAGTAAAAAAATATAGAAAATAAATTCTGTTTAACTAATAGTTTTTATTACTTTGAAAAATTCCAAAATTTTTCAGTGTTAAAAGTTGAGAAGATATAATTGAACAGAAAGATTATTCATAGAGGAAATTACTGAGGAAAATGTACATGTGGTGTGTGCTACTTATATTGATATAAGTAGTATATTATACGAGTCAAGAATGTATTGTCTGGTAGCGGAAGATGAGGGAAGATCAAGAAAGCAGGAGCGGGAATAGGGTGCAATTTGTGTGAAAATGTAAGAACAATGAAGTCTGAGGTATTTTGGGACAATTGGTGGATATTTTGCAAATTAACGATTTAATATATAGTTCTCAGATTTTATTGAGATGCTCTGTAATTTCTGTCTCCGTGTTCTGTCCACTGAATACGTACATACTACTTAAATCAAGGGTGTGTTAAATAGTTTCATTTGTTAGACAATAATGCCTTCATCAGCAGTTGGTAAAAGTCTAATGCCATCTTACTAGTAATTGTATATCCTTTATATCGTCAACTTTACCACTTAACGGATTACCTCTCATCCTGCAGTCATATATTCTGTCTTTTCTTGTGTAACTGAATGCTGTACTTCACGCAATAATAAGTTAATAGTCTGTTATAAAGCTTTTTGATATCCATTTAAACTGAATTCACAAACAGAGTCACCTGAAGCCCTCTAGACGTTGATACACGCAAGTCGACAGAAAGAACTTCACAACCATAAAGAATCTATTACCTAATTACGATACTTAACACATTACACAGACAAATAAATTCAAATAACACATAGATCAGACAAATAAAATACAAAATGACTAGATAGATTTCCCGATTTTTGAGATCGTATTTTCAAACGCGACGTAAACTACTTAATTTCTAATTTTCACCACCTTAGGTTCTGAGTTACCGTTTAGGGTAAATCAGAAATGTTACCACACCCCAAAATTTCACTACAATAACTTTCTTAGTTTATTTGTGAAAGTTATTGAGCTGATGTTTCTTGAAATAGGTGGTTAAACGCTGTGTCTTTAGGCTACCAGTGTTGATATAGATAATGAAAGCTATTAGTTAATGATTTAATAACTTAAATAAAATCTGACCTTATTTTCAGTGAACTGCTTTACTTTATCAGATTAATTAGAATGCAAATATTATTCTGACATCAATCAACACGCTACCCTGATAAGTTAATATAATAATCTTAAATGGTAAATTTAAGACTATGAGATCTTGCTCTGAATAACTATAAACAAAATCCACGAAATATGTATCATCATTCAGTTCATTGATATAAGTTTAAAATATAATGTTTAACTGAAACTAACTACGTACTATAGACAATAATTAATATTGATAAAAACAAGTGTAAATAGCTTTCAAAATTTATTTTAAAAAAACCCAAAACAGTTTGTGCGTTCAGAAAAAGGAATAACTTAGTAAACTAATCACCGTGTCTCCGATGGCTAACTAATTAAGATTGACCCCAGAATTCTGTAGCATATATTCATGCGACACCTGAACATATCTTGAGAATAATGAATCTAGAAAGCCTGAGGATATTTCAGATCCAAACGAGGATTCTCCTGTCTGATCTTCATTGCCCAATAGATTATCAAGCTCAGGTACAATTCACAGTGTTAAGTGTTGGGCATCCATGGTGTGTGGGCTAACAATTACTAATCCTAAACAACTATTCTTTATTTCATAGCACTATGTCTTAACCCAAATACCCCTTTCTTTCTCTACCAAAATGTTTTTGGTAAGAATATAGGTGAGATCGAATACTTGCGTCAGCTTTGTTGAACATCTTAGCAAAGGAGTAAGCAATCTTGGCAAGCTGATTAATGCTGATAAGCTATCGAGGGCCCAAGAAAACGCGTTGTTTATGAATAAGTAACCTCTTGAAAACTCAGAATCATGAAAATGAGACCAGTGACTGTCTGAATTTTTGGTGTGCTAATAATGTTGAGATAATTTAGTTTTTGAATCCTCCCTGCTTTATGGTTTGAACCATCTCGCAAACTTCAAAGACTGAAAGTTTAAACGATGCATGCGGTTTGAACGTAGTTGGATTATTTGTTACATTTGACAACAGTCATATATATTATTACATATCAAACTAAAGACCATGTATAATAAAATGCTTTTCTAAACATACTGATTGACATAAACATTCATAATCATCTTTATGATAGCCACGACGTTTACAAGAACCACCAACTGCATTTTGAATATAATGACATGGTCTTCGCTTACATGGATTTGGACATACCTGTGATAATTTGAAATACAGGAAATTTGAAAATTGTTCTCATGAAGCTATAAGTAAGATTATTATCTGTTTTAATTATTGTGTATTTTAAATATTTTATTAGTATTTGTTTTCACATGTTAGCGGTTGGGTTCAATAAAGCCTTCCAGAAATTCTTATTTTTCAGATAAGGATTTTATTCTGCCATTGGAATGGTCTCATTCTGACAGGCATTGCTCTTATTAAAAAATTAGCGCAGCTAAATTTTCTTCATTTTCAAATCTAAACATGTTTCAAGGTAAGAAGGATTATTATTATCATCAATATAAGGTGATCTTAAATTTAATCATCAATTAACGATACATATTTCTGATATATCAAAGAGCAGAAATCTGAATTTTTGACATTCCGTGACTTAGGGTAAATAAATAAACACCCAAATTAAATTTATTTAAGTTTAAATAGTACAGAGGAAACAAAGCAGAATATTTTTAGTACACTCATAATCAAAATAGGTCCGATCATGTCAACGTCATGTTGTTTTTTGGTCAAGATGATTCTGTGCGAGACATCGCCGTGTACATTTGCATGTAAAGTACTGGATATGGAAAATGGTGTAGTTAGAATTTGAGTTGAGTTTATGTGTGTTGTGTGGAAAACAAAACAGAATGAAGTGTAGATGTTTGGATAAACAAGCCAAGTTTGGTGAATAGTCAGGCCCTTTTTTATTAAGCGTAGGGCGATTTAACATTATATGAAACCATCAAACCACGCATTTAGCTCAGACATGTAGATGAATCATCTGTCATTAAAAAAGAATCCCCTTAGAAATTTCTCTGAACTGATAAACACTTTCTCAGTCCATATCGAATTCACTTTCAAAAGAGATGAACATAGTGAACTGCCATTCTTGGTCTGTTTAGTTAAAAGGAATTCTAATGGAATTCCACAATTTGAAAGTTTGAATAATCTGGTATTATTACAATACTTGACTAACGACGAGAGTTTTATCCATGAAAACACCAGTTCAGAGAATAACAGAACTACAGAAAAAAGGGAAAATTACGAAAACTCACTTCTAAGTCAGGAATAGCTTCCTTTACCTCACCATAAAGATGACATATGGTATATATGTATATTAAACTCATTTGATCTATTGTCCTTAAACGATAACATCCACCACGTATAATTGGTGTAATGAAGTGTTTATTTGATAATCTCTCAAACTCTTCACCGAATATTTGTTTTAGCAAGTGTGGATTATGAGAAGTAGGTTGCATCAATGCTAAAAAATAAGCCCATGAACATCTTGGATGTTTGGTTTCATCACATAATGTGACTATGTGAGGCCAATTCACATCAGCTAAGTACATATTTCCATTATGCGGAAACATATCTGAATTAAAATAAAATGTCCAAATATACAGAAAAATAAAAACTTGATTGAAGTAACTTATTTAACTTACAATTGAATAGTCTGGTGAAAATAAGTTGGAATTAATTAAAATCAAATAGAAGACTGAGATAGTTAAATATCTTTTGTGATTGTGAATATTAAGGTCTTGATAGTGGTATGCATTAGACTAAGTTTGATGATAGCATATGTCTCAGTAATTTTTCTTATTGTGGATTGTTTCTATTTCATTGAGTATCTTTCCTTAAATTCTTTAAATTCTTAACACAAAAATTTACTTCGTTTATAATGATGTCAGATTAATCAGATTAGATGTAACATTAACTTTTGTAAAAGTATTCAATTCATGGATAAACAATGGTAGTGTGATTACACCTCAATCAGAATGAGCCTAAAATATTAGGCCAGTCTCGATACAACTCAAGTTATAATAGAGTTACAGAAGTTGTTAATACTTGTCTAGGCGACTTTTATCTTCACCAAAAATTAGGTCATGGAGTTTGCTGTTTTTAAGATAAGATTTATGCGAAATTTCCCTGGATACAATTGCTCATAAACGAATATATTATTCACACAACTTCAACGTACGAAGACACATGGGCTTATTGCACCTTTGTATCAGCTAGTTCTGCTTTAAGATCCATCTTTCTTCAGTGAATTTTACTGAATCCCATAGATCAAGATGTCCAGCTTTTAATATAATTAAATTCAGATAGATGATGCACGATTTTTCTTGCTTGATTCTTGGTGAATCTGCTCTTTTCAGCTAAAAATATGAAGATGTTCATCTTATTTCTAAATCTGTTCAGAATCACGTAAGCAATTACCAAAATGTAGTTGTTGATGCAACATTCCAATGAATTTTCTAAAGTCTCTTCGTTTAATTTGAGTCCTGAGAATGATGATTCATATTTAGCCGAAAACCCACTTTTCAGAGTAACATTTTAAAAACTTAAGGCAGTGAAACCAAGATTACTTTCGTAAGGCCAACCTATTTCCCATAAAACATGTAGGGCTAGATTTTAGCGTGATGAGAGAAGTGAGTACATACTTCCATAAAATTTGGAAATAAGGGAAAAATTTAGTTTTTATGTATCGGTTATTTTAATCTTTCCATAGATTTTCAATACTACCATTGATTAGTCTCTCTTGGCATTTGTAAATCCTGTGTGTATTGTCTCAATATTCCCATTAAGTCACAACCATTTTTAAGCTAAATGGACAACAAGATGGCGTTTGAAGAGAACGGTACTGGGCTGGAGTCTCGGAGTGATCATCGAATTCTGGGATGCAGGTGCATCTGGATGACGAGTCTCAAATAAAGTGAAAGTAGCGTTCTGGTTTTCACTCGTCTCTGCCCAAAAGAAGAAAATTCATTCAGTGTGCCCTGATAGTTATTTCAATGTTATCATCTAGTGATAAAAACCATGTTCAAACAACTATTTGATTATGTGTTTCTGAGCTCTATATGAATACAATTTTTAGAACCAACTGGGTTTCAAATGAGTACAAAGGAAATTTAGTAGGTAACTGTAGAACTTAAAGCCACTCATGTCAGTAGTGGAAGCCTTGCTCAGTGATGACATTAAATGATCATTGTTCCAGATCTCGCTTTATATATTAATATGGAGACGATACTGTGAGCTTTTACTTCATCTTCTTTACTAGTCTACGTTTCATATTATTTTTGTATTTACATATAACTTATGCACAATCAGTACGGGAAGATCTAAAGATTCATTGAGAAAGGCATTATTATCGTTTGTTGTCATATGAAATTATATAAGGGAATTAAATTTATTTCCCTAGTTGAGTCCATGTTTGATGTCGATGAGGAATTATGAAATATAGTTTCTTGATTAACTTGGTATATTCATCGGCTTAATCACGTTAGTATGTAACGGAATACAATAAGTCAAGCAGAAGCATTTCGGAAACATAATTCATTCATTCGTTAATGCAGACAGATTATAAAAGAAGAGAATATCAGAGAAGACAAAATCTTACTTCTGAAAATACCACTCATTACAAGCATTAATAAAACCCGATATAGGGAATAAATAGTGTGAGCAAGTAGAGAATGATAAGTGTATAGACAAACACAAGCACACAAGAATAAAATTAACAAGGAAATGAATAAAAGAGGTATGTTCCGCTAGACCATCACAACAGCGATATACCATTGTCGCTTTATCACTTTTCAAATTGTACTAACTAGTTTGACCTTATTTATAGGGTTTCTATAAATTTAGGGAACGAAGATATTAAAAAAATTCAAATTACAAAACATTTTGTAAGTTTAGTTTTCAAAACAGTACCCAATCAACAGGGTTCCGAATTCACTCTTTGATGTTGATTACAAGGTGAAGATAGGTTAAATATTAATATTAACTCGTAAAGATTGTAATAAGTTCATAACGTTATTCTAATCAAATTAATTAATGAGAGATATCAGTGTTATTTCTTTAAATATTAAACTGATATAATTTAAATTCAGTGGTAATGAATGATAAATATTATTTAATAGAAGCCACATAATTCCTAACGACATTTAAACGAATTAACCAGACAATTATTTTTCGTGACGAGCTAATACGAATATGAATGGTAACTGAACATTGAGAAGCTGAAAGATTTAACGGCCGACAGAGAGTAGATATAGGTTATGAATATCACTCAGTAGCTCAGATACTAAAATGCCAACTATAGAGTTTGAGGTTGTTACAGAATTATTAGGTGAGTTGTGGCTGGTATTGCCATAGAGGACACCTGTTTCGTCTTCTTTATGAGTCTGAAGTTGCTGCGTTCCATCTTTGATGAAGTCACAATTCTCAAACTCTCTCAGAAATCAAAATGAATCCTCGATCTCTAAATCTCTATTGAGTCAATTTAAAAATAGTTCAATGCCAAAAATTGCTTAACCCCATGGTCCACACACTACATACCTTCATAATTATCCCGACTCCAGTAATGATACCATATAGTAGTAGGTATAATAGAAGACCCATAAATACCAGGTGGGAAACCATTTTCATATTCTCTGTATTGTGGATTACTCATCTGTTGAAATGTTCGAAATCCAATAGTCTCTTGTATCGGATATCCCTTCACATCTTGTTCAGTGATAAAATCATAAACTCTTTCTGATTTGTTGGCGGAAGTAATCACAAGTAAAAATACACTGAGAGGACATATAATTTTATCCATCAATTCATATATAAGTCGTGAATTCAATTTAAATATGTTAGCAGTCACTGGAAGTGTGTTAAATCAATATTATCAATTTGAAAGCCATTGACACAGCATTTAAAAAGATCGTTAATCTCTTCTGTTTAAACAGATAAATTGCGACTAATAATCGAAAGTTAGTTCCCATCAAAAAATATGATTAAATGAGTAAATAGGCAATATGCAATTAACTTATAATATGGACAAATGTTTATAGAATTACACAACTAAATATGACCCGGTTGATGTTCGGCGACCGATTAGCATAGTTCACAAAGAACTTAATTTTTCTATCAAACAATCTTTGTTGGGCATAGCCGCTTCCATAAATTAAGTCCACACTCGGTTTATCTTAAGCATTCTAAATGGAAAAAAAACCGACAAATATAAGATATAATCTAGAGCCTTTCACCATCTTTAGGGAATGGAGTTCCGAGGAAATTCTAATGACTGTTACAATCACTACGTAATCTAATAATCTGTTGTTTTTGTACTGTCAATTACTTTGTAGTCGTACTTATAGCTAGTTTTTACAAATAGCAGCTTACAATAAAACAAAGGCGAGTCCCGCAATTTAAGAAGGTTATCAAGATCACGAAGACTATCAAGTCATAAGTGGTTTAAGAATATAGTAAAATGCTACGCAACGACCTAGACACTGGTGGAAAAATTATAAAATGAAGGGGATTTACAAGACAGAAACAAGTGTTTCACTAGTTGAAATCATGAGTCAATTGAAAACCTGGAAGCACTGGGCGGCCGTTTCGTCCTATTACGGTGGCGCGACTTCGTGGACTGGTTGAAGTAAGACATTAACACTGTTGGATGCCAGCTAAGTGGTCTAATGGTTAGGCGCTCGCGCGCGAGACCGATAGGTCCTGGGTTTGAATCTCGCGAGGGGCGGGATCGTGGATGCGCACTGCCGAGGGATCCTATACTAGGACGAAACGGGCGTCCAGTGTTCCCATGGTGGTCTAGCTTCAATTTACTCATGATTTTAACTAGTGCAACTTCTAGAAAATCACTACAAAACCCCTTCTGAAACTAAGTGTTTACTTAGTGATTATGAAAAGCAGAACATCCCTCCACTATATTGTGAAATACATGTAAAAACGGGCAATAAATATGACCGCACAAGCTACGTAAATATGGTCCGGAAGGAAATTGTCCCCCCCCCTATTTGTCTTCAAATTTTAGTAGTATGATGTTTCTCTAATTTTTAATTTTATTAGTCTTGCCTTCCAGGCATATTCAAAACACTCACGTTAGCTAACCAAACAAGTAACACCTTTGTGCAAGTTGAAGGGATGTTGCCTAAATCAATCGCTAACCTTGAAGACAGGGGTATCGTTTGGTTGAGAACGTATAGTACGTAACTCCGAATGCAAACGAAAACACAGGTGTTTTCTCCAAGGTGACGTTATTGTTGATAAACTTGTCGATTAGTTCAGATGCACATGGAATCTGAAAGTTACATAGCAAGTAAAACCTAGAACTGATAGTCCAAGCTGTGCGAGAAAGCAATCTATCGCGAACACGGTATACTTACGAATTCATACCATACTTTTCATAGAATCCTGATCAGACACATTCCTTAAGATACTTCATATTTTAAATGAATTCGATGTGACCTTACGAAAAATAATGTACTGAGGAAGCACTAATATAATTTGTAAATAAATCCCCACAAAGCAAAAGTCAATAAGCTTTTAAAGGATTTTTGGCATATTTACAGTACAAACTTAGGTTTTGAATAACGAAAATTTTTATTTACATTGTATACAGTGTAATTGCAATGTGAACAAAAGCCACTTCACTGTGTAGGATTAGCTGATTCTGTTGCGGCAGACATACGCTCGGTAATAAATGGGTGCTGCAAAGCTTCATTTAAAGAAATACGACGAGTAGGATCCAACATTAAAGTTTTTTCGAGAAGATCGCGAAACTGTGTTACTTTGCGGAAGATTGGTTCACTTAGCTTCGATTGACCAATAAGATCTGTCATTAAGTCTCTTGTTGGCTGCAAATTACGAATTACCGTCATTTTCTCCTAAAAACGAAATAAGCAACATATAAACGACTAATAATAAGTAGAATAGCGTTTTCATTCCAGTTAATGAAAATCTTGAACACTTTCTATTAAGCAGCAGTTTGGCAAATAACTAAATTTTCAGTAAAAAAGGATGGTGGCTAGCAGTGGAATCCAGGACACGCGTTTCATCCTATTCGAGACTCGTCAACTGAATGTAAGTTTTCAGAACATTTCATGAAAACGAACAACCCGAGGGAATGGTTAAGAGATCAGATAAACAAAATAAACATCGGCAAATTATTTAAAAACATACTTTACATATACTAGACTTTCACAACTACTGAATATTGTTTAAAATTCAGGAATGATACGAAGAACACTGAAATGATTGACATTGATTTATCTGAAGACTTAGAAGTACTTGATTATTGGTAAAAAAATAAAAACAGGATATGAGAGTTGCGAACTACAACAAAATTTTTTAGCTACTAGTTTGGAAATCTAAATAAGCGTTGATATTATATACATTAACTAACCTGGCAAAATTTGCAAGGTAATTTAGGTAGATCAAAACTGAGTATTTGTGGGAACTAAGATCCGAAAATTATCTCTCAGTGCATGAAATTATTGAGAAGAGTGGAGACAATCGTCATATTAACTGCCTGATCTGATTAACTCCAAAGATTTTACCTGATAAGCGAGACAATTGGAAATATTAAATTATGAAATCACAGCCATTTATCCTAGATGTTACATAGTTAGTAGAGTGAATTTCTTAATGTCTAATCTTATGCGCATTTCAATGTTACGACATTGCATAGATGGTGCAACATTATATTATCACAAATCATTAGCCGGCCAGGAACACAAGTAGTCACATTTATCCCAGGTAAATGTACCAAAACGATAACTTGTAAGTTAATCATTTATTAATAGGAATAAAGCACATTTAGACAGCATGATTAACTGAAAATCTAATAGATCCACACAACTGGAAAGTGGTAGAACTTAGATATACTTGCATGGGAAGCGATAAAACCATTTGACCTAATAATAGTAATAATAATAATAATAGTGGAAGGGATTAAGAACAACATCAATACATGTATGAGATTAAAATACGCGTTATAGCTTTTAAATTCATAAACATAAATCTTTACGTAAGTCAGCAAACCTTTTGTGTTACTTTGTCCACTTCATGATAGAGGAAATTGCACTGTTCATCAAAATGCTGTGCGCGAAACATTCCACGGCGGATCACGCGACCTGGTATACGTCCTTTGACTTCCATCATTAAACGCAACATTTCATTGTTAGTCTTTCCTGGAAACATAATTTGTCCAGTATGTAACTCAAATAGAGTTACGCTGCAAGACCATAAATCCACATTGTAGTCGTAAGGAACACCTAAAACTAAAACAAATTTCAAACACCAAGATTTTGATTGAAAATGATTTTGAACGATCCACGGTGACTCGGTTATTATGAAAACATGTCCATCAGGTTACATCTGTAGAATCAAAATGTAACAAAAGTCTATCTCATATAGTTATTAAGTGAGATGAACGGGCGATTATATCCCGACATTAATGTAAGCCATTAACCAGGTACGGATTCAGGCATCCGACTGATGGGCTACACCTTGTGGGAACTGGCGACGCTACGCGGCAAGAAAAATGTCGAAAGTTGAGTCCATCAATCACTAAATTGTTTTAAAGTCGTGTTAGCCGATTTCAAAAATATGGCTATTAAGTTATTATGTGTGAAATCTTGGAGAAATCAAAAGGAACACTTTATTAAAAAGTATTTTAGATGACTTGGTGAAATGATTGTTATTATTGCACACAATAGCTGGATAATGAATTGTTGTTATACTAATTTATAAACATATTCGACAAAGAAACAAACCAACAATTTTACATAGAACGATATTACCAGCCAAAGACGCTCAATTAGTTAAGTGATGAGAACAGTAATATAGCGAACCCCATATATTATTAAGACTATTATTAAAAAATATACTCAAATTCTTTACAAATGCTTTCTTAAATGAAATGAGAAACAAAAGAACTTTGTAATCATCATCAGCCGAATGTAATAACTATTCGTACAGTACGTGAGCCCGTGGCTGCTATGAACTTAAAATATGAGATAACTATAAATAACCATCAGATCTTCACGAAAGTTTCATGGTTAACTAATCGTATGTACTACTGAGGGAACTATGGATACTAAACAAACCAACTAATACTGAGGGCAAATAAATGACTGAGAAGCTGACGAGAACTAGCGTAAATATAGTAACCACGTACTATTCATCTACGGTCAGTAAGATTTAGCAAACTTGACTTTTAAAAAATACTCATTAGGGGCATTTGGCGTGTACACTAATCATAAAGTTGTAACTAAAAACAGATGTAACAACATGTCGAGATCTTTTAAACTACATACTCCTTAAAGATAAGATACACGATACGGAATCATCATGCTTGAATGAGAGCTTTTATCCACAAAACATTACCATATTCGCTTCGGAAAACCCATCAAGTATTACGATGTCGATATCAAGTCAGTAGCGATAAACCTAAGCTAATTAACCCGCTAATCGTGACCATCACAGCCTTGTGCATAGATGATGAAAGGAGTCAAGCAGATTCAGGACAAAAATATATAAACCAGGAACCCTATCAGTTTGAACTAAATAAGAAAATAAAATGTTTTAAAAAACGTAAAATTCACTAAGGAGCGCATAAGAAAGATTACCCTCGCTAAAGGTAGCAAGAAGACAGCCCCACTAGTATCGTCACAATACTCCATATCTTGACCACGATTATTGAATAGCAAGTTCATGGTGGCGACTGATTTCCATTGGCTGATATCACGCCGAATACGCAAAAAATGCAGAAAGTAGAAAAATGTCAGTATTTAATTTTAAAAAATCAAAGGTAGTATTAAAAAGCATGTTACAAAATACCATATAACAAGAAACTTACTTATTTCTGGAGCACGATAAAAACGTGAAACAAGATAAGGCGTGATATCATTATCCTGTATAGTAGATGCTGATCCGAAATCAGACAACTTAAGCAAGATTTTGTTTTCATTTACAAGTATGTTATCAGGCTTGATGTCCGCATGCAAAATACCACACTTGCGCATCAGCTTCAAAGCCAACAGAAGCTGCTGAGTGTATGAGCGTATAGCAGCAATATGCAGCCCAATATTACGTCCGTACTTTTTCAGAACCTCTCGAAGATTTAGACTCATCAACTCGAACACCATGCATAGATGATTTTTATGGAAAAAGTGACGATAAAGTCGCAGACAATGAAAACGATCTTGTGGGTCAGCATCGTTGAGTTTTTTAAGAACTTCTAGTTCCCTTAGACCTGATTTGTGCCTAAAAATAGGAGCAGATTTAAGCAAATAAAGTGAAACAACACGATTATCAGCGTACTGCCAAAGGACCTCAGCAACTACACTATATTACTAGTTATACAATAAATACTAGTATGATGAATTCAGATTACTTATTGTATATTACATGAAAACCATTGGGTAAAGTAAAAGCTCTAACTTACATTACATCGTTGTTTCTTATTATCTTGATTGCCACCTCTAAATTGCCCCGAGCACTGTCCCTCGCCCTAACAACGTTAGAAAACACTCCGTGACCAGTATATCCGTAAACAGCATAACGCTTGTCCAAAACTTCACCAATGCGAACACCTGGACATTGAAAATTATTTGTATAATACTCATCAAAATACATAAAATGTATATATGTTCTGTCACCTAGAAACACTTATTTCAATTATTAATGAAAATAGCCCCGAATTCGGAGATTTTATCATGCTAAAGGTGTAGACATATCTATATTGAGATAAGGATTAGCTAATCATGATGCAGTTCTTATTAACATTTAGAAATGCAACTAAAATTTAACGTAAAGTTCTAAGGAATTTAAGTGAGATTGTTTTGAGTCCTAAAAATATCCACTGCTCCTCTGCTTTGTATGAACATAAACCAAGAAAATGAATAGCAAAAAAACTATAAATTTAAAAACTTACGGTAATAACCTTCAGCATCATCCCAATTATCGGAGAGGGCATGATTTTCAGAGGCCATAGCCCCCAATGCCATTGTCCCCGGAGCATGATGCAGCTCGACTTCGAATTCCTCAGCAAACATATCAAATGTAGAGGGTTTGGAATTGTTATGTCCAGAGATATTTGGGTCATTTCTTCTTTTATCTTGAAGTGCCATTGCGGCTGGAGCTTGAACACCGGATAGACGACCACTTGGTGAGCTCGGTTGGTCTGGAAAGATATAATGGAAAATCAAGTTAAGCGAAACAAAGCAAACGTACTTTGAACAATTTGGCAGTCATATAAAATTACTGAATAGCTTGAAGTCTACATACTTGAAATGGATATGAGTTAATGAGGTTAATTTTAATACGGAAATTGACTGAAGTTAATATCAACACTTATTTTAACCTCCAAATCCAAATTTAAGACAGTCGAATCTGTCTCTAACTTAGTAAACACAATGACACATGCAATTATAATTTTAGTAAGAATGGAACACCATCGAAAGGCATACTATAGATATATAGGTAACTCCAATCATACTAAGTCTGCTAACTGCATAAAGAAATTTTGCAAAATTAACCCGGAAATAGTGCAAACGTGTCAACTAGTAGTAATTTACTTTCGATGTAATGAATTTTAGTATCGATCTTACCCACCTGAGGTACTAGTTGGAGCCATTTTGATACATTCTAACTTAGCCTGGACAAACCTCTCAAAATCGAAGTCCTCAGTATCATCAAACGTGACCATATCCGTCAAACTGTCTGCCTGAATAACTTGAGGATTGGGATCGCTGTCGAGTTTAGTGATTGGGGCTTCTCCTTGATTTCCGACCTCTAACTTCTTGAATAAAAAATACACAAGAAAGTTAGATTTATTAGATACTAACTTCTAACAACTTTTGTCTTTCAATACGTCTTCGTCTGATAATCTCTTCCTCATCTTCTTCATTGTCAACTAGTACTAAAGATTTGTTTCTGTACAAAAATAAAGAAATTTTGTGAGTTACTCATTGCCTGAGATGGATTTATGATTATCTTCGGGATGTTTTCTAGTCTTGTGAGATTTTTTTTCATGATGAGATCGTTTACATTCATGATGTGTATCACAGCTGGGACTGCGGTGTTTAGACTTTTTGCGACGACGAATGTGGTCTTCTTGTTGGTCGTATGACTTTGGATACCTATTTCGGTAGTAATTATCATCGTATTTATCTACATGTCCCGAGTGGTTGCTGGATTCTTGATAATAATAACTAGAACCATAGTGATATTCTGATTCTTCTCGATGGGAACGACGTTTCCGATGCTTATCATCGCGGTGGTCCTTTACTGAAAGCATTGGTAATCTGAAGAGAAAAATTACAGGGTCGGTAACACTTATCCATATAAATAAAAACCATAACAGTAAGGTCACTTACTATGAAGTATTTTGATTACATAACATAGCACTTCAGTCCAGCAAGTTTTTAGATAAATTGCATATGCACAGAACTTATCTTAAACGAATTGCTACAGCTTCTCCCCAAGTATTTCTACGGAAATGGGAGCCGTAACAATCCCTTTTATCTTAAAGAGACAAACCTTATTCCATAAGTGGCTCAAATCTCACTTGTAGTCACAATATCTGATTATGGAAATACCACTGACCTTTGTTTGTACACAAATCTGGTACAACTAAGCATCAAAGATGGGATGTGCCATACAATTCTAGGGTTGGCATAAAAAAGGAGTACATTCGGACAGAGAAATGTACGAAATAAATACGCGAGAACAGTATGGAGCAGGAAGTACAATTAAGAACCAAGAGCCTTCCAATGGTCATAGGAGTTGCCCTATATTTTATGTTAAGGTGAATTAACGCAAGACCCCCATTGGCTTTCACTGTCTAATGACATTTTAAGTCACTGAATCGCACCAACCCTGATTTCAGCTAGCGAGTAGTGAGGAACGAAAGGATGTCAATTTTATGCTTTCCTCGAAACCAAGAGGTCAACGCGTAAACTGATTATTACTTCGTTCTTACTACTCCTTTCTGAAGTCAGAAAATAACCTATGGTGTGGAAGTTGATGTAGTGACATTCGCGAGACATGTTCAAGCCACCGAAACTGAAACATTAGGATGGTGACATTACCACAAATTACCTTTATTGTGCTCATAAACAAATTACCGAGTCTCAGAATTAACAGGGTTTTGCCACTTGGTGTGCCGAAATACTCTGGTCAGGAGTAGGGGAAACGTAATTTCCTTGAAACCCTCTCATAAGCTTACGTGTTCACTGCCATTTCACAATGAGTATCTTGGTGGTGTTGTTCAAGAAACTGAGACGATAAGCAAACGTATAGTGACTCAGCCGAGTTGACTGTTACAGACGACCTGCCCGGAGCTTAAAAGCATTGATTTCAAACCAATGATGCAAACGAGCTTCAGGATCATATGGGATCGAATGACAGATCCCAGCTTAGTTTTATACAACGAATCGTCGGCAGACCTGATATCGAGACAGCTGACTCTACATGAATTTTATTGAGGTGCGTGCAAAGTTTATGCGGTAATTGAGTTAATTCCAGTAATCCGATTGATACAGAAACGGTAAAAGATCTAACCTGGCTGACTCTTCCATTGTCAAAACAAGCACAAATTCGTAACGAGTGACATGCACTAAAACAAAGTATAACTAAACCCCTCTTAAGAACACCTGAATCAATGCAATTATTTCCTGTCTCTATGAATTCATTACTATGAGTAGGCTGAAATTATGTAGAAAATTCATTTAGTGTATTTCTTAACATATTTGAAATTTTATTAACTGTACGCTCTCGTTGTTTGAATGCATCATGAACTTTTGAGATTATGTTCCATTTATTAAATTTTTGGCTCGCCAGTATGCTTGATTCGAATTAAAAATATAATATGCTATGGCGATCATAGTTATCGTTTGCTTGCAAGATACTCTCGGATCTAGAATTACCATAATTTAGTCATAGATACATCCCACATACATTACACAAGTGATGAACCTATGAAAAAGACAAACACCTATTTTATAAACAACCGGGGAATACATCTCTGCGTCGTACTGTAACATTCAATATACGCGAAACTGATCTCATGAAGAATAACATTACCATTTTGACTATTATACCATATTTTTGTGCTTCAGCTCACATTTGCAATCCTAATCCTGTGCTCATTTTTATCTTTCACGTGTTGATCACTCATTCCCATCACAACGACTACTGCAATTTATGCATTTATTTTGCCGTTATACTTCAAGAATCTTCTATTTCTACCTTTGCTAAAGCGTTGGATACTCATCTATACCTGTGTCAGCCTTTAAGGCAAGCAACTCTGTATTATTTTTCTCTAGACGTGGGGGCACTTTGAAGCCCTTAAAATTACCAGTTAAGCAATAAAATTCAATGAGACACACTTCGCGCTACCGAATGATATGATAGGACAAGTGAGCGATATCATACTTAAACTAGATGCAGACTTTCCATCAGATATTATAAAGACGAAAGTCGTTAAGGCTACTTTTTTCGTCTCACCATCAGGCAATCTGATCAGCCTTCAGCTAATGTAGAATTAGGTAAAAATTGAATAGATAGATGGCGTTTTCGTAAATAGACACGTTGAAAATTACCTACTTTATCGGTCATCGCTCAGGTAATTTCGCGAAAAATCCCTCAAACGTTAGCACATGATAACGAAATGTTTATTTAGACAGACTTGCAAAAATAACAGACAGATTAAGCGAGAGTATAGAAACACAGACGGAATAGAGGCAAAGTACCTCCACAAACCGCCAACTTGTTGGTTCGCCGTAAACAGTTAATATACTTATCAAACACGTAGCTCAGTAACATATGCATAAACATCATAGTTAATGTTTTGAAACGGATCTAGGGATAGGCCCACGTTTGCTATTGTCAGGGAAATCTAGTCAAGGCAGCTAAAACTATGTGAAAACAAAGGTAAATAGGTGTGATAACAGATGATCGTTGGTAGCTTCACTCATCAGAGCTTTCAAGACAATCGTCTCCTTTGTATCGCATATACGTACCCGTGTGTGATTCTCTGCATGCGTATTCGACGAATCACATCCTACTTCAGGAAAGTGCTCCATACTGGATTACAACTAAAGTATCACCTGTTTTTGCACTCTCCAGACGTTCCGACCTTAAGAGTTCTGCACTTACCAAGGTTTGATCTAGCAAGATGAGAGATTTAGGCACATACGCCTAACATACAAAGTGTTAGAGATTTTTCGAAATTGCAAGCATTCCACCACTTTCCACTTCATCCTGATAAGATTTCGAGAACTACAATTATTAGTCAACTTGGATAACACGAATTTGTCCGTATGCCTTTCAGCACTTCATTTTTCAGGTATCACTCAATTTATATTGAGCAAAAAACGACAAATGGGGCTCGGTCAGGCATTCCACAGGACCATGTTTGGGCTGGATGCTATACACTACGAAACCCATGCTCACAACCGAAATATATCTTCCCAACTTACCATCCATTACTTAATAATAATTTATCGTTCTGCAACTATTCCAATAAAGGATACTAGAACATCAGTATTATCATATTCCGACGTGCTAAAATCCTACGTGGTCCTAGGTGGTCGAAACACTAATAGGTAATCTGTGAGTCGGTACCTCGTCTCTATTGTTTTTCGTTTGAAGAAAGTGACCCATGTTGTCATTAAAAATTAATCAAAAGAACTCTGTAATTACATTATTATTTTCGACAATATCATTCCCTCAAGCTATACAGACGGGTTTAAAGTTAATGTACAAACAAAATCGTTTATTGAAAGATATCATATCACGTGGAAAAAAGTTGCTAATTATTTAAAAATTGAAGAGATGTTAGGAAAAAATCGAATATGAGGAGCATAATAACCCTTTTAGCAAGTATGAGAAGGGTGGAGAATAGACTAACATTGTGAAGGTGATAATAACTAACAAGTAAAGCTAAAAATAAGAAGAGCGAAATCATTACAGTCGTGTGAAACGATCACACAACTGTCCATAAAAATTAAGTGCAAAGACCATAGAAGAATGGTTGCACGCACGTAACTGTTTTGCTCATTCCATATTTAAAATGATGGATCGCTAGAACCTCCACAGAGCAAAGATTATCAACTTGAGCTCCTTTCAAACCAAATCGTCTGAGTATACAGATGATTTTAAAAGCCTTTCAGGTTAGACCGTATAGCCATCTTTCAAAAGCAGTCTAAATATTTAACTGCTGATCGATTCAAATTTACCTTCTGGAAGCGAAGTCGTATGATGCTTAAAATGCAAAGGGAAGCTCCCTCTTTGTGCGGTCTACATATTTATTTACTGTGACATCACGTCTTTGTATCCCCATGGTTCTTATTCTTATCGCATAACTACTGTAATCACGCTCATCATTATTTAAATTAGGTCTCTAGCGTCATCCTTTTGACGTTGTTGCCTGAAAATATCGAAGGTTAACTTGTAACAACTTAGGTTGATTAGTCAAACGTTGGCCGCAAACATCGTAGTTGTAAATAACCAGCCTAGATGATTTGTGTCGAATGATCGAAGGCCTACTTGAGTTAGACGGGAATGGTGTGACGAACCAGCTAACGTTGAAGTCACACCTCGTGGTCAGCACCTTACGTGGAGTACATCGTTGACGTAACAAGGTACTATAGATGCTGTGAAGAATGTACAACACAGAGAACGTTATTACAGAAATATATTAGTTAAAGTACATACAAGCGAAAGCAAGATCACTGCCGCATGGGCCAGTCCATGGCGTACGATTAACTGATGCGCGTTGGTTGTCCTTGACATTGGCAAGGATCGATTATTTGTTCCATATTCAATGACCCAACCTCAGGATGATTTGGCTAGGGCTCATTGAAATTTCACTGGCCCTACATAGTAATGTCAAACCATTATAGCTCAAGTATTTATTAACTTCTCTATACTGTACAGGCATTATATTTCCTATTATTTTACAATAAGTGCTGAAAAAATCTGTGTGTTTGAAAAAGACAACATTACGCACGATCTAAATAAAGACATATTCACTACCAGTCAAGTTTGTTCTATCGATAAACGAGGGTTGCCCGACTGCACGAAACGATCTGGCATACAGAGAAAGATTTCACAAACGAGACGTGATGTTCTCATTCTCGCAGCTCAGTGCAAATATTCAAGCACCACCGTGTAAGGCGAACAAGTAAAACACATCGAAAAAATTTCGCCACAACAACCCATTGAAAGGACTGCTCTTAAACGAGGAGATCTGATTGTTTAACAAGGGCAAAGAGAATCATTCCACAATATCGATTTGGGTCAGAATTTGGCAACAGGACGGCAGGTTGCCAGTGGACACACCTACCTGTCAAAACTATCAGACGCAATGATGCAAATTGCTATCTTGCCGACATTGGAGCAGGAATTAGTTCCCTTTTTGAAGTCTTTTATGATCGTCATTCAGAAAACATGTTCAACCAACGCACATAAAAAATCAGTCGCTAAACACAGTAATATTACCACGACCGAAGTGTGAGCATATCCATTCGCTGAATCTTAGTTGTGCTAGACGTGGCTATCCCTATCATTAGCATAGATCTTCTAGGAATGGAAACCATTTTTTAATCCGAGAAAATGAGGGTCAGTTGATGGAGGCACTTAACTGTCTGCTTGCATAACTCCATTTTCGACAGAAAAATATGACTTATCCAAATCAGAGATCATTACGGCCCGTACTTCTAGCCAATAATTGATGAGTGATTGGTTCTCTGTCAGTGAACATAGACTATCTGATCCGTAAAGAAACCCTGACGATTGCATCTAAAATACATCCACGACAAAAAGCTCTCATTAAAACTAAGGACGGAATTTTCAAAAATAGACTTGGATGAAAGCTCATATTTTGGTGACTGATGACGGCCTTCCAACAATAAAACTAACCTACTCCAATTAAATGGATTTCGACTCAGTTCATTTGTACTGAGAACTATCTTATCAATCCTTTTACCTCATTACTAGGAATATGTTTTGAAGTCTTGGTTTGTGTATTCATATGTTGACGAGTCATGTCGTCAATCCGGGTTAAGGGATAACTTCAATATCTGTGTTAATTATTTGAATTACTTCAAGAAATTGAGATGACTATGAACGTGCGAAAGAACCAAAATAGCACCAAATCACTGAATCTCCTTGAAGATAACACAGTTACATAAGGCGTTTGGCTATTAGAGAAAAAGTTGTTGACTATTCTGAATTGCCTGTAATAGACAGTTAACAAGTAACTCTTAAACATAAACGGATTGGGAAGTTTAGTGGTGTTGATCATGACCCAACAGTCCTCAAAGCTGAACGTGAGATAACCGGGAAAATACATGTTTAAAACTTAACACGAAGAGAATGCCAACAATGGTGGCATGAATCAGCCTCGCAGATGTTGCCATTCTGTGTAGCTTGTCTCTACTCATACTGAATATATCAATAGATCTTTAGCCAAAATGTGTTCTTCAAAAGTACTAGACGTCATATTGCTGATTCTTACGATACGACGAGTTTGGGTAGCTTGTAGAACTATGGTCTACTATGATATTAGTACTGCTCTAATAATAGACCTAATCCTAAATTCGTAGATTCGTCATGATATAACTGCCTAATCTATAAGATCTTACGTGGAAGTCACACCATCGACTACGCCAACTCACTGTATCGTATCAATTACCAATACATGATGAAGAACAAGGTTAGGTTAGAGAAAGAACAATA